TAAACCCAATGCTCTGGTTCTTTTAGATGTACCTGATTGCTCTGCTTTGATTTTCCATTGCTTTCATGATCTTTTGAACCTCACGACTGTTCGTAATCTTCACGTGTCATTTAGACTATTAATCTTTGACATGACAAAAAATGAAATATTGGAAATTTGTGTCTCTTAAAATATATTTTCCTAAGGTTGTCAGTAATATTTAAACGTTGGGTTGAAGTCCACAGCAACTGTTTTCTTCTTTTTATGGTGAGGTTTTCGAATATATTCTCCATCACGGCAGATCAGTCGGTAGAGTATGAGGCGCCGTTTTTTGGTATTTACTGGCAAAAATTGATATCACCTTTTTGAATAGGTGATATCATTTATTTGAATAGGTGATATCACCTATTCATTTCCAATAGGTGCTATCACTGTCATGTTATAAATTTTGAATTTACCGGGTGGCAGTAAATACAAATTCAAAATTTACAACATGACATCACCTATTCCATTTGAATAGGTAATATCAACTATTTGTATTTTATACAATAATAAATAATGAATACTCCCTAGACTATATAGATTTCCAATGGAACCAAGAAAATTCTGACTGCCCAGTTTTTATGCATTTTTCACGATTTCTCTTATAGTATGCTTGAGTATACTTTATAGATAAGTGAACTAAATTAATTTGTGAGCAAAAGAAACTACAAGTGCTATAAGGGTTGCTTAAAACTAAACTCAAAACTGTAACCCATTGCCTCCTAGAACGATGAGCTATAAAACGAACGTGAAAGTCAATTAAGATTCCTATAGTCTTGGGAGCCGTTGTTATTTCATAAATAATTTGAATCAAATAAGTTTTGAAAAGGTGATATCACCAATTCAAATTAAATTAGTGATATCACCTATTTGAAAAGGTGATATCACTTATTCGAATATGTGATATCACCTATACTATTCAAAATCTGAATAGGTGATATCATTTATTCCAATAGGTGATATCACCTTTTGGCAGTAAATACCAAAACGGCGCCTCATAGTAGAGCTCTGGTTCCGTGATCGGAAGGTCGTGTGTTTGAATCACGGTCTCGACTGATCTAAGTCCATAAACTATGCAGCAACTGTTCCTTCGCCAAGCGCCCCGACCTTTCAAGTGAAAGATGCAGGTCCTTCAGATAAGAAAACAAATCCAATAGGCGTTGGCACGATAAAGAATTCTCAGTGCTTTCTGAGTGTCGAGTAAAGGTCTTAATTTGAAGCTAGTTCCAATGGAAATTCCGACAAATTGTTTGATGTCCTGATCTCCAAGAACTTCATAGATATTGTTAATCGGAAACTTATTTTAGCAACTATTTGATATTAAATTCGAATTAATATTCTGTACTGTAAAAATGTTACTGTATTTGTTACTAATTATTTATTGTATGTGATGACAGAATGTGTAAAACGAAAATAAAGAATTATAATTAAACAAGAGATGTTTGTAAAACAATTATGCCCCCCTCCCCCCAAATTGGATTTTTTCTAAGTCCAAAAGGGCATTACTCTGTCAAAAATGGCGCGATTGTATCCAAAACAGAACTTGACCAAGATATTTATCTGATAAGTCTGTATACCAAATTTCATATCAGTATGTGCAACCTCTGCAATGAAAATGAACGGAAACTGCAAATAATTGGAATTTTTCTAGGTCCAAGGGACATAACTCTGCCAAAAATGGCGCGATTGTACCCAAAACAGAACTTGGCCTAGATATTCATGTAATATATCAGTATACCAAATTTCATTTCAGTATGTGCAACGGTTGCAAAGAAAATGAACGGAAACTGCAAATAATTGAAATTTTTCTAAGTCCAAGGGGCATAACTCTGTCAAAAATGGTGCGATCGTACCCAAAAAAGAAGTGACCTAGATATTCATGTGATATGTCTATATACCAAATTTCATTTCAGTATGTGCAACGGTTGCAAAGAAAAAGAACGGAAACTAAGTGGACTGATAGACCGACCGACAGACAGCAGCAAAGCAATATGCCCTCCCTTCTTCGAAGGGGGGCATAAAAAATGTTTCTAAACAAAATAATTTTGCAAATGACCAATGACAAGGGTACAGTGAAGAATATTAACGAGTTTCATTAATTGCTATTAAAAATGCAGCTTGATAAAATGTTTTAAAAAAGTCCCACTTTTTTATTTCATTAATTCTTTCAAAAAAATCCTTGGATGTATTTTTTTTAAGTATCCACCTCTGATTTACACCACGTTTTAAATACATTGTTAAACAGTACTTTCCGTTTTTTTTTAATTCGCTGCTTTCAATATTCTAGTGAAGAATAAAGAAAGAGATTTGGTAGAGCATATACTGTAGCCATCTATTTTTTTTTTCGGGGGGGGGGGGGGGGGGGGGGGTTAATGATTTTGATTTTTATATAGTTAAAGAATCCAGAATATGCATAATAATTCTTATTTAATTTGATTGTTGGAAATATTAAAAGAAATCAAAACTGACATGATTTTGAAGAATTTCCTCTTTAGATACGGAGTTATTGGTATCATTAATTGGATTTTCACTTGCACATATACCGGTATCTTCTTCAATACATGAGGGGAAAGTGAGCTTACAAACAAAGACCATGCTTTTTCCCGCTTTGTCAGCGGAGATCAGTATATACTGGTCGTGTAATTTATCTATTTCTCTTTCACTTTTGAATTATTGAAGATAGAAGGATAGATGGTTTTAATATTGCCCCTCGGCCGCTTAATTCAAGATTTCAATATGCATCTGATAGTTTTAATCCATTTATCGGGTCTTTTTTCATGTTTGACCATTCGCCTGGCGTAATATTCCATAGAATTCCTAATATTTATAAAACTGATACGCCAGTTGAAAGATCAGGGCTCTTTTAAATTTAGTCTTTATAGAAATAAATGCCAAAAAACTATGTTATTTCTTAAAAAAAAAAAATTAAAAGAAAAGAAAAAACCGGTCCCCTGAACTCGCTCTGACATTTTTCATGTTTTTGAATTATCTATCTATCTTTTAGGAACATCGTTGATAGTGCTTTGAATATATGCAAAAGGGTTTTGGAGTTTCTGTTTTCATCATGTGGGAGATCAGGGAATCTTTGTTTCTTTATTTTATTAACGCCCAAAACAGCATTTCTTTTACAAATAACCTGGTTCCCTGAACTCCCTTACATTTTTTCGTTTATGCATATAATGGAATATGATTGGGGGTGTTCTGATGACGTGCAATACTTGTAAGGTTTAAACCTGTCAATTTTCACCCAGGAATAAGTGATATCACCTATGATACAATTAAGGGCCAAAAAAGAAAGATATATTCTACAAAAACTGATTCCATCTTTTTGGAATATGATTTGTGGTATCCTGTGGGTTTGATTTCACCTATTCAGTTGGTGATATCACCTATTCGAATAGTTGATATTACCTATTCATATTTTGAATAGGTGATATCACCTATTCGAATTAGTGATATCACCTATTTGAATGTGATATCACCTATTCAAATAGGTGAAATCACCTATTTTATTTGAATTGGTGTTATCACTTATTCGAATATGTGATATCACTAACTCGAATAGGTGATATCACCCATTCCTTTCGAATAGGTGATACCACTTATTCAAATAAGTAATGATAATAATAGGTGATATCACCATATCATTTTGAATAGGTGATATAACTTATTCGAATAGGTGATATCACTTATTCAAATTATTTATGAAATAACAACAGTTCCCAAGACTAGAGGTCCATGAATCTTATTTACTTTCACTTTCGTTTATTAAAGGGACATAGCCACAGTTTCGGCTAAAAAATTAATTTATTTTTACATTTTTAGAAATATTTAACAAAGGTCTTTCTAATAATTATCAAAAATTTGAACTTCAGTTGTTGAGATACAAGACAGATTTAGAGCTCCAAAACTTTGTTATGTAAACAGGGTCCGTGTCATGTTTTGTTTACATAGATTAACATGCTAACAAATGTTCATTCAAAGCAGATAAATCCGATGAAGAAGTTAATTTTAAAATACAAATAGACAGTTTCTAGTGATCTGCTGAATTTCATTTTGCTATAAATAAAATATTTTCTATATGTAGACAAAACAAAAACAAGGCACGAGCCCTGTTTACATTTTGAAGAACTTTAAGTTCTGTATCTCGTTTGTTAATCAATAAATGATGTTCAAATTTTTGCTGATCATTAGATGATGTCCTAATTAGGAATAGTAAGCATTTAAATTGGTTTTAAAAATCTTTTAATTAACGCTGCAAACACTTCGTACCATACCAGCTGCTCTTCCAGACACCTATGGGAACAAACGTTACACTTTTTGTGATAAATCAATGAGATACTACTTCTCAGTAACAGAAACCTGGTAGGACTTTATCGTACTGCGCTCAGTGTCGTTTCGTACTTCAGCTGCAAAAAAAAATAGAGACCGATTAGAAGTTTTATTTAGTATTTCTACTCTATATATAATTAATAGGTTCATAAACGCCTTATAAACGTATATGTTCAAGATTTCTGCTCGTTCCTGCTTCGTCCATTGAAATTATTATGTCCCTCTGTTAAATTTGTCTGCAAAAACTTGGCTCGATGTCAGTTAGTTATGGCACTTAGGTTTCTATTTACTTAAATTACATTTAAAAAAAAACAAATATTCACAAGTACAAATATCATGCAAAACTTAGTCAATTTGGAATCATTTTTAAATTCTTTCCTCATATGTGTGTTTATCACTTCGACACAGATTGGAACTGATAAGACACAGGTACACAAAGTACCTCTTCACTCTTTAACTGAATGTACATGTGTTTGATTATTAGCTGATAAGTGATGACTTAACCCTTCCACAACAGATAATGATTTACATCCCCCGTGACTAAATTTTCTACCCAAAAGCGGATATATAGTATGTAAATGTAAACACAACAGCGACGGCTGTTTTATTTAAACTTTTAAGTCGTTGTACATTGTCAACAGCGGAGGATATAGTCGGAATGGGGGGATCGCCATCGTTCCCCCGGGAAACACTGAGTTCTGACAAGGTCGTTATTGTAACGGGAGGAAATACAGGTAAATCAAAACAGAGAGTTGATATAAATCAAGTGTTTTTAAAGCTTCCTTAATTAATTTGCATAGTGAAAACAGAATGCTATAAATAACTTCTGGGTATGTACAGTATATAACATGTACCTGATAAGCACAACAGGAACGGTAACTCGTGAACGTATTAAAGGTAACGTTCTTTTACATAAGATGACTAGCTGTTACAACGCACTTTGAAAAATTACGCACTTTGAAAAAAAATTTCAAAGTGCGTTAAATTTTGGGACCAAATCAATGCACTTTGAAAAAAATAAAATTTCTTTTCAAAGTGCGTTAATATCGACCATATTAACGCACTTTGAAAAAATATGTATGGCTTGGTCAATATTCTTACAAATCTTGGGTATGATAAATAACTGAACCTGTTTGATAACTCTTAGGTGATGAGGTCACTTCAGGATGTGAAAGTGAGCGATTTTGATTTTTCATTACTTTGAAAAGTCTATCTTTCTTAAATGTTTTACTTAAGTTTTGCAGTTTGTATGCATTTTATATGTAAAATAAAATTTATTGAAAGTTTTCAACGTCATACCAGTTATGCAAATACATATATTTGGGTGTAGCATAAGCATCGGTACCGGGAGGGGGGGGTTCTTAGGAACTCAGATGTTTTGCAAAGATATATAGGCATTGAAAATCGGGGCTTGCCTTTGAGGGGGGTGTCTACTTTCAATTTGTTACCGACGACTACGTACAATGTATAAAACAAAATGAGTTGGGCTGAGAAACCTTCTACTCGCCTTCTCCTAGTTCCCAATGAGGTTAAATGAATAAATGTACATGTAAATTAAAATGTTTTTCGAAAGGTACATGTATAATTAATAAAAGTTGATTCTCTCAATTACTAAAATCTAAGTATAGATTTTTTTGTTTTATACACTTTTTTCCAAAGTGCGTTATATGTCCCAAGGTAAAAAAATGTTTATGTACACTCTTAACACACTTTGAAATATTTTTTCAAAATGCGTTGAGTGTGTCCCAAATTTAACGCACTTTGAAATTTTTTTTCAAAGTGCGTTGATTTTGTCCCAATTTTAACGCACTTTGAAATTTTGTTTTCAAAGTGCGTAATTTTTTCAAAGTGCGTTGCCACACATGTTAGCTGCAATACAAATGTAGCCCCCCCTTTTTTTTAGGGGGTGGGGACATCAGATTAAAAAAATCGGAGACTCAGAGGGCTGCATTATTGCAGCTAAAGATGACAAGTACCATTAATTGATTGTAATGTGTTCTAAATTGAAAAATTGATGTCTTCCTCTTATTAGTAAGCTATGTAAATTATTTTACAACATTGAATAGAAAAGGTTTCTTATATCTGACCCGGGGCTGGGGCTGGAAGCAGCTAGGGGAGGATCTAACAGGGGTTTCTACCGCTCCCCAAGAATTTTCAGAGCTAAATAAATGTCTTTGTAAAAGAAAGGAAAAAGGACTTAAGATTCCATTGAAAAACATGGACACCTCTTTAAGCGAGAAGAAAAAATTATCTGAGGAAAATGGAAATTAATGACCCAGCACCCTTCCCCCTTGCTTAATCGAGGGGGGAGGGGGGTAATTCAAAAATTTCTTCTAAGTCTGCTATTTATTTTGTGGATGTGAACTGCCTCCCTCCCTCTCCTCCCAAACACAAGAAAATAAAATCATTATATTTACTATGTATCTGTTGATTCTTCAGGTATTGGGTATGAGACAGCCAAATGGATCGCTATGTTGGGGGCACATGTAATCATTGCATGTAGATCAAAGGATCGTGCAATGCACGTGAGTATTTTAAAGGACAAGATAAGATTTAACCCCCTTTTCGTCCCCTTTTGGGGCAACCTCCCATCTTCTTGGTTGACGAATCCGACTTACGGGAAACATAAAGTTCACAAATTATAACATTTTCAAATTTTTTTTATTCTAAACAATTTTACTTTTTTAAAGCACATTTTGGTGTATAGTATATAAACATAACTCTTGTGGAAAAAAGTTTTTAAAACTTTTTAAAACATGAAAGATTCCAGACTTTATCTGCTTACTGTTTAGGCCATTACTAGAATGAGGGCGGATTTTGAAGATGAGAAAAAGAAGGGGACCCCCAATCTGACCCCAAGGGAACTTTCATTGGAGTTTATGGAGCTGGATCTTTCCTCGTTGAAGTCGACAGAGAAGTTTATTGAAGAATTCAAGGCCTCGGGTAAATTACTGCACGTCCTGATCTGTAACGCTGGCCTTGGTATGCACCCTTTAGGTGAGCACAAGTAAATAGAAATTACACGGATATTGTTCATAATTTTTTTCTTGTATGAAAACCTTATAGATGATGACTTTGCTGTAAACGAACATGTACTTTTCAGCATACACGGAAGACGGAAATGAGATGATGTTTCAAGTGAGTTCATCGTCTTTTCTTTTTAAAAGCAATTGGTCGGGAGGTGTCTGCTGTTGGTTACATTTTACATTGTAGTAACATTCTTTTGTATGATAGAAGCTTTAAAAATGTTACTATAAAATGCTTTTAGATCATGCTTGTTTAGCTGAGGTACCGTATGAGCTCTGTGTATTTTTGTAGGTAAACTACTTGGGACATTTCCTGATAATAGTGAAACTGCTCCCTGTTATGTTCAGAAGCGGCCCAGATTGTCGCATTGTCTTGGTGTCCAGCATTGCCCACAAGTGGACATCCTTCGATCTGGATAGGATACAAGCCAAACAGTACAACGAGTCTAACTTTGATCGGGCCGATTACTACTACAAATCAAAGCTTTATCAAGTAAGGCGAAGTTGGAAAAGAAAAGTGAGCCAAAAGAATAATAGAGTTCAACTAGATACGATCTCGTTGCGAGCAACGAGAGGTCTTCCGTCCGATTAAGGAAAAAACACCTCGTAAAATTAAACTGAAAAGTGATTAAACTCAGGTCGCCAATGTGAAACGCGCATACCATTATGCTATAATTTGGAGCACTGCTCTAAATATACTTTTGTATACTTTTGCAACAGTACATAGTCTAAGAATTATAAAAGGCGGACCAAACGAGTAAATATTCGCGCCTTTTCTTTGGACTGATCTATTAAAAAGGTGTGATAGCTTCAATGAAATTAAATAAATAAAACGTTCTTATTAAGAAAGTATATTTAACACACTGTACACATTACATGTCGTATCTAGCCCAGTTACACTAAAGCAGTGAAACAGAAATTAAGTTTCAAGATTGACACTCAATTGCAACGTACTACTATGTGAAAGTCCAGGTAATTTTTCACATTTCATGTTTCCTTATGTTAGAATGGTTCAATCAAACGCTCAGCTGCCTCCATAAACCCCTACTCCCGAAATGGCGGAGTAGACAGAGAGAGCCGCCATCTTGGGCCCGCTTCAGATTTTCAAATATTAATATCTACAGTTCAGATGAACCAATACTAAAACAACTTATATAGTAAGCATCAATGGAAAGGTCACTATTAATATTCCAAAAATAAATGAAAAATATTGAAGAACAAAAAAGTTAGAAAATGCACTTTTTTAAATTCGCATCTCCTAACGAATTGACGACGAACGAAAGGTCGCGTCCTGGATAGAGAATATCATGATCTATAATCCCTGAAAGTTTCATGTTGATAACCGTTCTTGAGATTAACCGTAGACAAAATGTCATTTTAAATTCAGAAAATGTCCCGTAACTTGGCACCAGAAGAGAATTTTCAAAAAATCTCTCGGAAAAAATAACTTCAGATAACAACATATAATTTCTGTAAATTTCATGAAAATCCACCCAGTAGTCTTCGAGAAATCGCGTGCACAAAATTTAGTGTACGGAAAAATAATAATAATAAGAAGAAGAAGAAGAAACAATAGAATCACTATAAGGTCTTCCGTGAAGACGGAAGACCTTAATTAAATCGATAAATTAGTAAATAAAAATTGTGATTGGAGATGGGAAGTTAATTAAGCACTGCAGTGTTCCAAGTCATCTTTTGTTTGCGGCAGAATAGCTTCCAGATATATTTAAATAGATCTACAATCCGAAATTATTGTCAGTATCAATTAATGTGATCATACCCCTTTGACCTTCATGTTCATTTTCCTCCAAGTTTCGTAGATAAAACTGATCCCTCTCGAACATTATTCGTTTAAAATGGTTTCCCTATATCCTGTTATCAAAGCAACTTTTGGAACATTCTAGATATCACGATCCATGCATGTAAACAAAAACTTCATTTTCCGTCTTTGCAGGTGATGCAGATGTATTGTTTAAACAGACGAATAAACCAATCGAATGTCACTGTGAACTCGTTACATCCGGGTGTTGTGGACTCGGAGTTCACGCGGTCCTTTACAGATGATTGTTCCTGGACCTGGAGATATAAGTGTGCTAAATGTATCGGTAATGAAGCTTCGTCTTATTAATTAGATTATTAAAACAGGATTTAAATCAAGTACACTGAAATGTGCTCAGAATATATCAGTATGCGTGTAAATTGAGCCTCTCAAATTTTTTTCACAAGGCAAACAACGAACCCAGCATCTTATGAGATTTACAGCGTATTTAAATTAAAGATAATGACTGTACCTTCATTTTAGAAAAAATAATAATTATAACCTTGATATTTTTTCATGTTCTAGTTGCCATTGAATTTGTGTCGTTTAGTGCAGAGCAAATAGTGGGAAATTAACTTTTTTTTCAAATACAATTGTTACAATTTTTGTACAGAAAAGGCTGTCTGTAGTTGGTAATCAAGCTCTGTAATATTCATGTTTTACAGAGATAGTACTGAGATACAATCTCACTGTGATCATTATAGCTCTTTAAGCCCCATATTAAGTGCTTGTTTTTAAACCAACAACCTCTTCCAATCTAATCGACCTTGCGTGCTTCAAAAGAATAAGAATTGTAAAACAGTTTCGAAAACCTTTGTGCATGTCAATTCAATGGATTGTTTTAGAAACTGTGCATTAAAATTGACTGTTTATGTATCTACAGATAACAATGATTCATTATCCCGTCTAGGTCTGTCTATAACACCATACAAAGGCGCAATCACAAGCATCGACGCCGCCATCAACCGGAAACACGCCGGTTTGAGGGATATCTACTTCGACAAGTGCGCCCCTGCAACCTCGTCCTCTGAAGCTCGGTAGGTCAGGGTTCATGGTCAATTATTTATCTTGCTGATTGTGACAACCGTTTCCTTTTTCATGTTTGCTGAAGTTAACAAATTAATCCTAACCATAGAGTTCTGATATATAAACAAATCATTTTTGCCAACTGCAGCTACATGTATTTTGGCTTTTCCTTTGAAAGGAAAAGCAAATACTAAATAATAAATATATTACCCATTTATCGTTTGTAGGACCCTTCGTTGATGCGATTGAATAGCATGCAATTCTTAACATGCAAAGAATTGCAAAGCAGCAAAAAATCATAATCATTTTTTTAAATTATTATACACTAGTATTTTTTACAGAAATGTTGAAAATCAGGAACAGTTATGGTGGTTAAGTTTGAATTGTCTACAAGGTCATCTGACGGAGGAGGATCTACAGATATTTAGTGCCAAGACATAGTGTTTTTAATTAAATATTGTTGTTGTTGTTGTTGTTGCTGTTGTCTTTATGCCTGAAAATTAGATGGATTTTTTAATATATTCGATCAGTGCATACTATTTATGCAAGATATATTACTGTATTCAGCGGCGGCTCACACAAATTGGTCCGACCAAAATAGTTCCATCATGATAAGTAGATACAACATTATTGTTCATGATAAGAGTAAAGTTGTGTATGTCATACGTTAAAGAAATCAAAAATAACGTCAGAATATTTTTAGAAAGTCACTTTCTCCCCGAAATGCAAATAAAAAATATCAATATTCCTACGCTCGCTCCCTCCTCAGCCTTTTTTTTTTTTTTTTACATGTTTGATAACAGAGAATATTTAGGTCATTCTTCGATTCATATCTTTTCACCGATGAATTGATAATACTATATCAACAATTGTATTAAGTACATGTTTATAGTCTGTTAATTATCATACAATTTCTTCTTAAAGAAAAAATTAATCATTCTGTGTGTGTGTATTATTATATGACGGAATTTTCAATCCCTGGCCGGATTCTGCTCGTGTGTACACTTTGTAAACTGTAGGGTATGTGTGGCAAAACGAGAACTGGGTTGGAGATTCGGGTTCGTGTTGAAGTTCAGCATACCATTTTATATAGAGCTTGAATAATGTAAGTAATTTCTGCGACGAATAGTCTACATTAGTATATTTCAGTAATTTCCAAAACAAAAAAGGTTTTCAGTTTAGAATTTTCCGACCCGGTCCTGATTTTCCTAACCCGGCCATTTTAAACACAAGTTGTTGCAGATGCAAATGTTAGAACAAACTATATATAGTTCAACAGGGATTGTATAATTTTTATTAATTAGAATTCGTATTCATAAAGTTTTGTCTGCCATCGTAACTTCTCGGCAAAACAAAACGTGTTTCTCCGAGCTCGCTGGATGCGTTTGACAGCTCCATCGCACGTGTGTGTAGACCAAGGCTAATGTTGGTCTTGCGGACACAGGTACATGACGTAGGCCTATGTGTACTGTTTGTTAGGAGACTGGGTGACCGTAATGCTATGGACTCACGAAATTTACAACAGTTCCATAATTAGACAGTGCAGTGTTTTTTATTAACGTCATTATAAACACTGTTAAACATATTAAATCTAAAAGTCGAATATCTTTGGATATGGGGTAACCCATATCTATTCTTGTTTTAGAGTTGGGATAGTTTTTAAGCTACATGTAATATCTATTCTTATGGCCTCTTGCAAATTACACGTCGCCTATCCTCATCGTGCCCGCTGGCACATACGGCCCCAAACACTTCCTCCTCTTGCCTCTGTCTTTGGCTGCTGTCTTCACTGTAACAATTTGAACCCTTCCCTTCTGCCAAGGATGATTTGTACCAACTTTGGTTAACACTGGTCCAGTAAATTTTTAGAAGAAGTTAAAAAATGATAAAAGTTTACAGAAAGACAGACAACTAGTGAGCAGAAAAGCTAACTTGAGCTTTCTACTCAGGTGAGCTAAACACGTAACATATAGATTTACAAAACAGGGACGTAGCAACAAGGGGGCTCCCCCCCACTTTTCCCCCAACCTTACTTATACTATAGGAAATGTTCATTGAAAGTTTAGTTGCCCCCCCCCCCCCCACTATTAGTGATGTACGGGAAATATAGTAAAAAAAAAATTGTTAATGAAAGTAGTGGACATTGAGAAAAAGTCCTTTTAGAATGTTGAGGCTACACTTTGTCCCAAGAAAGAAGAGATCAAAAATGACCACTGTACCACTGTGGGCTAAGCATTCCTTGCCCCCCCCCCCCCCTCGTTTCCGACGCCTATGGATTAAATCACAGTTGTGAAAACCAAATCATAGATATGTGTTTTATGCTGTTGAATTTAGAACCGGTTTCATGATCAAAATTCCACGACCCGGATCAGTTTTCAACGGATTAGGGTCTAAATTCAACACCTTTAGTCTCGGTATTCAACGTTGAAAAATGACCCCACGTGTCAATTTTCAACCGGGGTCAAATGACAACGTTACACCGACGGGTGGTAAAAAAAATTGCAGAAATAAATGTCTGTGTCCGTGGATCAAATCCTCTCAAAGGAAACTAATTATGAAATTTAAGTGAACTTTAATTTTAAACGATATAGAAATGTTGTATAAAACAATTTACAAATGGGAAAAGTAAAAATATTTATAGAATCATAGAATATAAAAAGAATATTATACAACATTTACATTTCCAATAAATTTCCCCTATGATTCTTTGCAAAATAAAATACAGTATTTTCTCATGAACTACATTACATAAGTATGAATATCTCCATTGTTATTGACGTAAAAAAAAATATATATATATATAGTGCACACTGATTTGCTTTAAAAAGGACAGTTGAATGTCGAAAATTTATGGCAAGTCATCAGAAAAATAATAAGAAATGAATTTAATTTTTGAAGATTCATGAGGTATATGAACTACAACGCTTCACGCCGGCATATTTATCATGAAGCGTGTTAAAATACATGTAATATGCAATACAAATGGAAAATTATTTGAAATACTGAATGAAGGATGATAGAGTACAATTGAAAAACTAATACAAATGAAAATTGTTCGATGCAATGAAATACCTTATTGAACATTTATTTAATACAAATGGGAAAAAAATCAACGAATGGAAAAGATAGACCACTTCAACCTTACAGAAATGCCCTATCGACCCTAAGACAGATGGCAGTTGTTTCCCCTTTTTTAATCATCAAAAGTATTTTTTCTATCTAGAGTAGTATCTTTTCTATGTGTAACAAAAACTCTTTCTGGTCATTTGAGAAATTCTAAGCTTATGCTAATACTAAATTTCCTCTGTTTCACTGGTAAATATAAAACATATTATTCCTTCAAAAAAAAAAGTGGAGTAGCAACAGAGATAATCTCTCTCTCTCTCTCTCTCTCTCTCTCTCTCTCTCTCTCTCTCTCTCTCTCTCTCTCTCTCTCTCTCTCTCTCTCTCTCTCTCTCTTTCTCTGTCTCTCTAACTTTTTTACCTTAAAGAAAATTATTTTTGACAGCTTACAAGGCCTTATGATAAAATATTAAATATTTTTTGGTTAGTTACTTACAATTTTTGTTTCAAGTTCATATACAACATAAATGAAAACGGACCTATATACCAGTATATAGGTCCCTGATAAAAACAAGTGATTTAAACAAAAGTTTGCACTAAAAGCTTGTTTCTGGGGTTATTCCGGAACTTAAGGTATTTCATTTTGGATTATACGTTGTGGTAACTGTTTCCGCTTAAAAAAAAATCGACACACGCGAAAGAGTGTCGACTGTCGTGATCGTCATGTTTTCTTCTCCATTGTTCTGTTTCTTCCTCCTCATTTTGCAAATTGTTAATGTTCAATCAGACGGTGTTTTAGGATGTGGGGGATTTGTTAAATCCGATGTGGATATTAACTTTTCCTTGGTAGAGGTAAATCAATATTCTGTGTTGGTTCGAATTTTCTCAGATTTTATTGGAGTGTTGGTAAAATGGGTAGGCAAATCTGGGCCGGTGGAAATTAAAAGCCGGGGCAGATCGAAATTTTTCATATTTCCGTCTTCATACTCTATCGATCGAGCTGAAATTTTCAGAATGTGTTTGATACATGATTATTTATATTCGCTGCTAAAAATGCCATGAAATACTTTATATTGTAGATTTTATCGGCGATTATTGAATTTCAAGTCGGTAAAATGGGTAGGCAGTTTCCCAAGTTCATAATTTACGTTTTCAGGCATATGCTGCATTAAGTCCATAAAGTTATGAATAATTCTGGTGTTTAAGAATATGTATTAACTATAAATTTATATTTCTTTATTGGTTATTACGATATTTACGTGAAATTACATGTTTTAAGAAAAACCGGGTCATTAAAACCGGATCCAATCACCCGAGAAAAACCTGAAAATTCCGGAATAATTGTAGAGGTTTACTCCATTTTTACTTGAGATTATTTGTCATCTGACAAACGCCAGGCTCTTTTGAGAATACCTCCATGTGGTCAGAGTTGAACAATGTGACAAAAGTGATAGCTAACATCCTCCAATACAAACAATTTGCCTTCATTATTTCGGAATTTTCGGGTTTGCCCTGGGTGATCAGATCCGGTTTTAATGCCCCGGCTTTTCTGAAAATGCACAAATTCTGCATACTTATAGCTTTTATAATGTAAAACTAATTATATTTCGTTTATATAGAGTGTAAAATATTTGAAAAATCCACAATTGTAATGGTTTAATGAGTCTTTATTAAAAAATACCATGAAATGTCGTATTGATTTTGCCTACCCTTTTTACAACCTGGAAATGAACAATCGCCTAGAAAATCAGAAATATTGCGTATATGAACAGCGAATACAAAAGAATCTTAAAGAAACATAATCTGAAAATTTCAGATTAATTGGTGGAGTCTTAGAGGAGATATTTGAAAAATCTCAATCTGCCCCGGCTTTTAATTTGCCCCGGCCCGGGTTTGCCTACCCATTTTACCAACACTCATTTTATTGGTGTGCCCCATAGTCATATCCTGAGTTGGAGCACTTAATCTCATTTTTTGCGATAATTGTTTAAGCATGAGCTCAAATGTGAAAATTTAAATAGACTGGTTTTGCTGTACTGAATACTGGGTTATAGGTGTAAAAAATCGAAGTTTTGTTTTACATAACGATAAGAAAACGAAATATGTTGAAGATGTTAGTATGAAATTATGTAAAATTTTGTTCAGTACTTGATATCACGATTACTTAACTTAGCTGAACTCTTTCGCAATTGAGGTAGAAAACGTCTGTACGATGTGGGCAAATGTCGTTATTGAATACAATGCCAGATCGATCATTATAGAATTTGTAAGGACAGATACGTAAAAAATCCTGGTGGAATACCTTGCTTAACAATCGCTGAACCAGCCTAATTAATTTTTGAGAGGAGCTATTAGCCTTATCCTAAAATGTTACATTTCTTAAGATATTTTTAACTAAGCGGGCTTTTCATTGAAAATTGTCACATTTTAAAGCTGATAAAATATTCTAAACTTTCCTTATTTGACAATCTACTATTTGGAGTTCAATTCTTGCAATACGTTGTACTTTTAGCATAAAATTGTTTGGATCATTCGATTGTCACTACTGCAATACGTAATATCGCGAGTACCTAGCATTTATCTAACTTACTACCACTCTTTTGTGGGGGAGTCGAGAAAGCTCATATCTCTCGAGATTTCTGGGGCACATGGCATTGTTTACAGTAGTGACAATCCAATGATTTGTCATGAACAATTTTATGCCGAAAGTACAATGTATTGCCAAGAATTGAACTCCAAATAGTAGATAATGTCGAATAAAAAAAGTTTAGATTATTTTATCAGCTTTATGATGTGATGATTTTCAATGAAAATTCAATGATAAGAGCTTGCTTAGTTAAAAATAATGTGAAAAATGTAACATTTTATGATTAGCTTCTATCAAAAATTAATTAGGCTGGTACAGCGATTGTTTAGCAAGGTATTTCACCAGAATTTTTTACTTATATGTCCTTATAAATTCTACAATGATCGATCTTGCATCGTATTCAATAGCACATTTGTTCCCATCCAAAAGACATTTCCTACTTCCATCGCAAAACAGTTCCGCTAAGTTAAGTAATCATGATATGAAGTATTCCATGTGCCCCAGTAATCTCAAGAGATTTAGAGCTTTCTTGACTCCCCCGCAAAAAACATTAGTAAGTTGGATAACTGCGAGGTAGTTGCGATATTACATATTCTTAACTGCACACAGTGATCGGCGTGGGTCGCTATTAAAAGTCATCGAAATGAATTATGATTACAATTATATTTATTAAATAGTATATGATCGAAATTCAGTGATAGTGTTTATATGTTGATGATATGACTGTTATAGCAAGTGCAAATGCTTATTCAGTTTTAAAATTGAGCTTGTCAAACTGCAAATGGAATTTGCTATGTATAGACATCACTTGTTTTAAATGATGAGCTGCTCTTTACGCTGCTTGCTGTACTGACTGTAAATTATGTCTTCCACCTTCTCAATGTTTTATTGAGTTTATAATTGGATATTGAGATTAATCCTAGTCCACCTTTAGACATTGATCTTTCTTGAATTTTTTTATTTTATGATATTTGTATCAATTATTTATATTTAATTTGAAGGTAAAACTATACACAACACATGGCAGCATAAAGTACCAGACAGACTGTGCCCCAAACACTGGGTATTATCTGATTCCACTGTATGAGAAGGCTGATTTTATCCTGAAAGTGGAGCCCCCTAAAGGATGGAGCTTTGGTATGTGTGTCATTTCATAGTATTAATTACTGCAGAAACTAAGAGCTCCATGGACACTTGGAAAATTCTTCAATAAATATGAGTTTGACTCGGTGAAAATGGTGATGGAAATGTCAGAAATCTTTGAAGATAATAATTTTTTCGTGTTAAATATATAGCAGTACATGTATAAATTTTATAATCACACAAGTTTTTAAGGTCAGTTTTGTTACACTTTTCCACTTTGACATAATTAAATATTTATCATAATAATAGATATTGACCTATGTATTTATTTACACAGAGCCTGAGAGCTACAGTCTAAAGGTGGATGGGGAGACAGACAAATGTAGTCGAGGGGAGGACATTAACTTTAGATTCACTGGATTCACAGTATCAGGAAAGGTAACACATTTATATTAATGATGCTTTGTTAAAATTATTGGTGTGAATGTCAGTGAAAATATGGTTTGACTCTGTAAGCAATAGACAGCTATATAATGTCTTTTTCTTTTACTTTGATTATAATGCAAAGAATTCTACTTATAGAAGTTAAGCATTTTATTATACAACCTGTTTCGTAAGAATATAACTTGAATAATTCATAATGGAAGAGCTAACAAGTTTTGTATGCTCTTTGACTAGTTTCTAGATCTGACAGAAGAAATGTGACTAGATGGTTACAAAATTTATTTGATTGCCATCCCGCATGTTGAGTTATCTTGATAGCTTTTCTTCTTTAGAGATAAATTTCAATCTTGTCCATTGATGAGCAATTTAATATTGAATTATAATCAGGTAAACTTTTCATCTTTTAATCAGCATCTTTTTTATTTGACAACAGGTGATTAGTAAGGGTCAGTCTGATGGTCCAGAAGGGGTCACTGTGACCTTGTTGAAGACTGGCACCACCTCTGTCCTCCAGACCACCACCACTGGAGAGGGTGGGACCTACTCCTTCTCCAAAGTGATGCCAGGAGACTACACAGTACAGGCCACATCCACAGGCTACAAGTTCTCACAGGTAACTCTCATCTCACAGGTAACTCTTATCTCACAGGTAACTCTTATCTCACATGTAACTCTTATCTCACAGATCCTATACCTAAATGATGGTTATCTCACATGTAACTCTTATCTCACAGGTAACTCTTATCTCACAGATCCTATACCTAAATGATGGTTATCTCACATGTAACTCTTATCTCACAGGTAACTCTTATCTCACAGATCCTATACCTAAATGATGGTTATCTCACAGGTAACTCTTATCTCACAGGTAACTCTTATCTCACAGATCCTATACCTAAATGATGGTTATCTCACAGGTAACTCTTATCTCACAGGTAACTCTTATCTCACAGGTAACTCTTATCTCACAGGTAACTCTTATCTCACAGGTTACTCTTATCTCACAGGTAACTCTTATCTCACAGGTAACTCTTATCTCCAGGTAACATGTCCTATTACTGGTTATCTCACAGGTATACCGTAACCTAACTTAGACTTTAAGGATAGTTGAAAGTGATCATAAGTAACATATCTGAAACCTATAATATTCCATACCTATCTCTGACAGTTTACTTTTCTTGTACCTAAAGAATGGAGTTCACTAAGGTAATGTTACATCAAAAGATGGAAAGAATATATTGCAAGTGAAATTTTTTTTTATATCTGAATGATTTTTAGTTTTTCATTGATTCTTTGAATAGAGTGAAGCCAAGTTTACAGTGAAGAGTGACAATGTCAAAGTGCCAAGTTCAGTGGTCATCTCTGGATACCAAGTCACAGTAAGAAATTATGGACAGAAAGAGAAAAATGTTTCGTAAAACATCGGTATTCCAGCAGAAACAATGCTGGCCAAAACTTGACTTCAAAATTTGGGATTAGGTCCACCAAAATTTAGCAAAATGATAGATTTGTCTTTTTTTCTTCAGGGTCGTGTGCAGAGTGAAGGTGAAGCCATCAAGGGAGTTAACTTCATCCTGTTCTCAAAACAGTTCAAAAAAGAGGTAAACATAATCATCTACTTTCCAAATTACAATTTGTTTCAATAGACGACTGGTCCATTGTCCAATAAAGTTATTCTTTATTTTCTTTCATGTTCATGTTCAATTCATGAATTGGTGTCAGTCTCAGGTTATCATTAAATTGACATTTTAATCAGTGGTAACTGACTTTAATTTCAGGACATCTCGGACTGTAAGAAGGACATTCCCTCCAGTTTCTCCCACTCTGAGCCCGTCCCCCCTCTCTGTTACGTGGTGTCCGGTGAGGACGGATCTTTTGTGTTTCCCTCACTGCCAGTGGGAGACTTTTCCATTGTAAGCTTCTTTCTTTCATCAAACAATAGTATGTTTATGAAAAAATGCATTTTCATTCAATTTTTAAAATCTATACAGTATATTGATGTCAAAATTTGTTTTTAAAAATGTATCTGTTAAAATGCAAATGCATATATTGTACATATACCAAGGCTTTTTTTACAATGTACTTGTGCTTAATTATGTCTCGAAACTCCATGAACATTTATCATATTTGATCAAATCCTGTTTCATCTGAATTGTACTAACGATATGTATTTTACAGGTACCATTTTATAAAGGAGAACACATTCGTTTTGATGTAGCCCCAGGGAAGCTCGACTTTCATGTCCCTCACAGTCCCTTTACCATTCCGGTAAAGAAATATAATATTTCTTATTATTTATTTATGAAATACTTATGTTCTGTTTGCTATTCCAGTAAAGATACAGCCTAGTTCTATTATCAAACTTCATATACAATCATAGTTATAGTTTGCATATACAATCATAGTTATAGTTTGGGAGATATTATGATATTATAATGTTTCATAAATTGATATCAAATTTGAAAAAAAATTTATTTGACACTGCCTGTTCTATGTATATGGAATTCAGTGAAGATGCAGAACTTATTTTTGCAGGAAGTTTTCCAGGTGAAAGGATTTTCTGTGACTGGAAGAGTTCTAGAGACGGCCAAGGTACAATCATATTGATTGAAAAGTTAAGGAGTTACATGTACAGTAAAACTCGGTTGTAATGAAGTCGCTGAGACCAAATTACTTTGCTATATCCGTAATTTATTATATCCGTTTTGGGAATTCGTTAAATTTATATAGCTGGGGATCCAAAATAACTTCGCTATATCTGTGAATTCGCAATATCCGTGTTCGTATTCTCCAATAAATAATTTCTAATTACCCACAGATCAACAATAATTTTATACCCCCTTCAGAACTCTCAGTTCAAGAACATGGATTTTGTGATTTTACTAGATTTTAGAAATTATAGGAACGTGCACTGATATATAAATGTACATGTGATAACCTCATGCTGTGGATGAATATGAAACTTGTTCATGTAATTTATAAGGGAAGTGGAGTGGGAGGAGCCAAAGTTTTGATTGACGGGAAGCAGCAGGCTATGACAGAGGCGGGCGGGAAGTACCATCTGGAGAACATGAAGACCGGGACGTACAGGATACAGGTCCAGAAGGAGAATGTCTTCTTTGACGAGATCAGTGTTAAAATTACACCCAACACACCCCAGATACAAGACATCATAGCATCAGGGTCAGTATACAAATACCCCCCCCCCCCCAAATACAAGACATTGTAGCATCAGGGTCAGTATACAAATGAAGGTCATTTAGTACAGGAGTTTGCACCTTGATTATGAACGTACAATTTACAGGTTTATTTGAATGTCATTTAGGACTTTTTAACTCACCCTCTTCATGTCACAGTAGGCATAGGCAAGATAAAGGACCCTCACTGCTCAGCCTTGAGTGCTGAGTAAAGGTCTAAAATTGAAACCCTTTTGGCCTCAATGCTGCAAAAAAGAATTCAATCTTTGCCAAAATGCCTTTGTCATGGATAGTCCCTGAAAATAAGTTTAAATTTGATAAGGGGGTATATAGGAAAATATCTTTATAAATCGTCTTCCCAAGAACAGCAGGTCCATAGTTTGTCAATTGAAAGCAATATCTCAGCATCCCCATCTCATGTAAATAAAAGTGTTAATATCAGCCCCCCTTTTCAGGGACTGGGGCACAAGAAAGTAAAATGGTTAAGTATTAAACAACTAATAACTTGCTGTTTTCCCTTTCAGGTTTAACATGTGTGGTCAGATCATCATTGATAAATTACCAGATGGTGTTGCGGGGTCTGCTAAGAGGAGAGTCATATATTACCCCCAGGGAAAGGCCTCCGATGCAGAGTCTGTATTGACTGACAGTGAGGGCAAGTTCTGCTCCCAGGTCAAACCAGGCAAATATATCGTCAAGGTAAGACACAGTTAAATATCAGGTAACATTGTAAATTACCTCTAAAAATGATAAAAAGAACTCATGTTTACAGTGATCTTGTATATAGGAAAGTGCCCAAGACGTAGAACCTGGATTTGTTGTAAATTTAATTTGTAATATTTGTCAAGTTTAATTTAAAGGGAATGAAAATCACTTAGTTGTGAATGTGAATATGTTTTGTTTAAGATGTTATTTAATTCCTGTCTGGTATGTTAGTGGGTCTCTAACACTGGATTCATCTTTTATTTGTTAGGTACACCTGACAGATGAGGAGACAAAGGCAGGCCTACAGTTAGTTCCCAGTGAGAAAGAGATAACAATACAGAATGCCCCAGTCCTGGATATTGTGTTCTCACAGTTCAGGGCCAAGTTGTCAGGATCCATCAAGTGTTTAGGTAGATATCTCACCATTAACATGAACAGGGCAGCTCAAAACTGTAGAAATTACTGTAAATAAAGTTCTCTTAGTCTCTGTAATACAAAATGTAACTGAATCAGAAGTTTATGTTTTACAAGAAAATGTGTCTGTTTTCAGAGAAGTGTGGTGGGATGGAGGTGTCCTTGAGTCCCGTCAGTAGAAGTGAGAACAAGCAGATTACACAGGTTTGTCAGGTTTATCTTAACTAAGCAATGAAATCATGATAATTCTTCAGAACACATTATAGGGAGAATCCAAACAAATATAGAAAATCTCTAGATTTATACCATTCCTGTGTTTCCAAAATTTGCAAATGATACCTTTATGATACATTGCCTACATTACAGAAGATATTAACGGATTGTATGATTACTATAGAAACATGTATTTCTTTCTTATTCAACTCTATTTTTAAATTTCTTTTATATTAGGCCAAAGAAGGTTCAAAAGGGACGGTATTCCAGTTTGAAAATATTTTGCCAGGAAAATACAAAGGTACGTGTTATAGTACTGTTTCTTTATTTAGAAATTTTATCAGATGCATAAAATACAAATATGAAAAAGGTATAATACTGAGTAGATACACGCAGTTTATTGTCCCTCTTGTGAGCTATAGACCCATGACTGTTTCTTACAGTTACTCTCCTTCATGACACCTGGTGTTGGAAAGACAAGACCTTGGAGATAGAAGTCAAGAACAGTGATGTCATGAATGTAGATTTCACTCAGACTGGATATATCCTAAAATGTACCATCTCTCACGAAATCATACTGGTAAGTACATGTACACATGATCCACACTGCTAGGGTACTTTGAAAGTTTATGTTTGAGTTCCAAAAATCAGATTTATCTTCATTAAACATTCAAGCCAAAGTTGATGAACTACATGTATTACAAGACTGAGAGAAAGAAAAAAAAATAAGTGAAAAAGATAAGAAATATTATCATAAAAATAGAAAAGAAGAAATCTAAGTGTTTGTATCAACTTCATTTCAGCACTTTGAACATAACAAGAAAGCTGGATCTGTTGGGTCCTTCAATTTAAACAAAGGCACAAACCGCTTCTGTCTGGCACAGCCTGGTGTTTACAAACTGAGACCAGACTCCTGTCACAAGTTTGAAAAAGAGGAATACATCTATGACACGTAAGATGTCTGTCTATTTTTTTTTTTTGTATTACCATTAAAATACCTAAAAAAATATAAATGTACATTATAAACAAAGAGAAATATTCTTGTTGAACAGAAGTGTCAGTTTGGTAGACAGCAATCTAAAAAATTAATTTTTTTTTTTTTAAATTTAAAATGAATTCTCAATATACTGAGGCAGAATATAATATGAAAGTCACAGATAAGTTTAATGGGAGTACGTGTATCACTTAATTTACAATTTAGAAAATTGTTTTAAAAAGTTTTTTTTTTTAAAAACATTTTAGAGGTAATCCAGAGTTGTTGGCCCTGACAGCAGTCTCACATCTGGTAGAGGGCAGTGTAACAGCTGAGGAAAAAGTTACTGATATTCAGATTGATATTTCGTGAGTATTACAATGTTTTCAAATCAGATATATTTCTCACAGTTTTAAGCCTTTTATAAAACCGAGTGCTTACTTAGTTTTGCTCATTGTTTTATAATTTTGCATTATTTACATCCCTTGTTTAAAATTGGAGCATACACAGATATGCAAAGCTTCAGTAAGGTCATTGACTTGTTTACTGTTGACAGGTCTAGTAAAGATGGTGAGGTTGTGACCCTGGGTCCTCTCACTGTCAAGGAGGAAAACAAGGGGTCCTTCATCTACAAGTTCCAGCACTGGGCAAGGTAAGACATTAAATATAGGAAATTTCATATTTATAAAGTGCCATAGTGTAATGCTAAGTTTAGAATTGTTTAAAAAGCTTAATTTTTTATGTGATTCATTATTTAGGTCAAATGAGAAGATGGTTTTCACAGTGAAGTCTAAGGAACTCCTGTTTAACCCCAGCTCAGTGGAGGTCACTGTTGTCGGTGGTAAGTTTGGTATATTCTGCTCTTAAGACATTGTTTAATTATTCTGATACAAAAAATTAAGAAACTTAGGAAATTTATTTTTGTCTAAGCCCTGGGACCCAACTCTCATAGGTTTTAAAGTGCACTGATCCTTTCACTGCAACAGAGGCAGTTTTAATTTGAACTGTTCCTTGTATGAAATGTCAGAGTTTTTGTTTAGAATGAATTTAGTATAGAATTCTGAAATATAAATGAGAGTTTACATTGTAGATACCTGCCCTGGTGAGGCTGTAAAGTTTGTTGGGAAGAGAGGGATCTTCATCACAGGAAGTATAAATCCCAGACTGGCAGGTGTAACCGTGACTGTCACTCACAAAGACGGCTCAGCTGAACCCATCGTCATAGAAACACCAGCTTCAGGAGAGTTCAAGTAGGTCAAAGGTTATGTTATGTTAAGTCAAACAGCTTTTGTTCTTCATTGGCTTTGGCATAAATGTTCACTAAATAGTTGTTGGGATTATTTTCTAAATGAGAAGGTAAAGTAAAGTACTGTTAGGGACGTTGACTGCAAGTTACCGGTAACTTGTTATACAGGTGTAGTTTATTTGTTTTTTAACTGTTTTCAAAATGTTTACAATATATGCCCTAATGAGAACTTGAAGATTTTTAAGACATGTTTTCTGTAAGCTGATCAAAATTTTATTTTTGATTTTGGCAATGCATTATCAGCATTTGTGTGTAACAAGTACCTAAGTTTGATATTATATCTCTCCACGTAGAGTTGGTCCACTACACAGAGAAAAGGAATATGAAGTGACAGCGGAGAAGGCAGGCTATGTACTAGAGAAGGAGAAAGAGAAACCATTGGTATTTACTGCCTCCAAGCTCGGGGAAATCTCAGTTCAAGTGAGTATCATGTGAAATATGTGAAATGCTATAAACAACAACAGTTAAACTTCCATTTGATCTTCACTATCTCAAACACAAACATCTTAAATAGAAGTCCCCATTATTTTTAGCTAGTATCAGTTACCGATACTACATACTGTACATACTGTACATTTTGTAAATATCTCAGTAAAAATGAGTAAAGGCATTGTTAAAAACAAAAAAAAAAATTATCACCTTTTAGATCATTTATTTAAGGATATTGCATGCATACATGTAAATTTCAGGTTGTTGATGAGAAAAATCAGCCTCTTTCTGATGTTCTTCTCTCTTTGAGTGGAGGAAAGCAGTACCGCAGTAATAATGTCACCAGAGAAAACGGAACAATCAACTTCATTGGTCTGGTAAGCTGCTCTTCACGGCAATTTTTTTTAAAAAAGTCTTGCTTTTACTTAACCGAATTAAAATTTGAAATGTTTTCTAATATCAGAATCTGTATTGTAAAATTAAAATTTTAATTTTACAATACAGAGTCCTGGTCAGTATTACCTGCGTCCAATGATGAAGGAGTACAAGTTTGAGCCTAACTCCCAGATGATCGACGTCCTGGAGGGAACCACCATGAAGATCAGCATTAAAGGAATACGAGTCGCATACAGGTCAGACACAATTCTCTTATCCATAGTCCTGTATCTTTTGCTCAAACCTTATAATTACTGGTACTGAAAGGAACCAAACTTTATACAAAGTCACTGCACATTTTGTCCTAATTTGCTATTTCTGTAGAAATACTCATTATTTTGAGTATAAGAACATTTATCTTTTAATTAATTACAATGACATACATGTATTACTTGTCATTTTAGAATTAGAAACAACTGCTCATATCTTTGAGTGTGAGAATAATTTTTTTTTAGCTGCTATGGATTTGTGACATCCTTAAATGGTGAAGCAGAGCAAGGAGTGATTGTAGAGGCCGTGGGAGAAAAACCTGAGTGTAACCAGGAGGAGAGCAAGACAGAACCTGATGGCTCCTATAGGATCAGAGGACTGCAGGTACTGTATAAAATCCTACAGGATCAGAGGACTGCAGGTTCTGTATCAAGTCCTACAGGATCAGAGGAATGCAGGTACTGTATAAAGTCTTGCAGGATCAGTGTACTGTATAATGTCCTACAGGATCCAAGGAATGTGGGTACTGTATAAAGTCCTACAGGATCTGAGAACTACAGATACTGTAGAAAGTCCTACAGGATACGAGGACTACAGACGCTGTGTAAAGTCCTACAGGATCAAAGGATTACAGGTACTGAATAAAAGTCCTACAGAATCAAAAGACTGCAGGCACTGTCTCAAGCACTACAGGATCAGAGGACTTGTAATGTATAAAGTCCTACAGGATCTGAGGACTACAGGTACTGTAGAAAGTCGTACAGGATCAGAGGATTGTTCTGAGGAGTGCAGGTACTGTATAAAGTCCTACAGGATCAGAGGCCTGCAGGCACTATAAAGTTCTACAGAATTAAAGGAGTGCAGGTACTGTATAAAGTTCTACAGGATCAGAGGCCTGCAGGCACTATAAAGTTCTACAGAATTAAAGGAGTGCAGGTACTGTATAAAGTCCTACAGGATCAGAGGCCTGCCTGAACTGTATAATCTTACAGGATCAAAGGACTGCAGGTATTGTATAAAATCCTACTTTCATGATACTTTCAATGCTTTTAAATACAGGTGACTCTCGAACTCTCGAAGTTCAGGGGACCGCAAGAAAAGTTCGAGATCTAGGGGTTCGAGAGATAGGCAGTAAATAAAATCTGGAAATTTCAGTTCCGACCATCAATGTTCTATCATTATAGATACCGGAAGTATATGTTAATAAAGTCATATAACATATTCTACAGGTAATTTATTTGAAATCAACAACAATGATCGCAGTTAAAGTAAACGAAACGATTTCCAAAATGTTCAATATTTATTTGTTCTTATTTCATGATTACATGAAACCTAAATAGTAATGTCGGTTATGCTATTCTGCGGCTTGATCAGGTCCTTCACCAGTGTTCACCAGATTTCTTGCAATCGGTATTCAATACTTGAGAAAGGGTTTTCAGTGCAATGTTTGACATACTGGGATTATGTAAACTGTAAAAAAAAAGTTCATAGTCTATCAGAACTCATTGACATGTACGTTTTCAAACTTTTTTCTAAAAATTATCGTCCTGGTTTCAAGTCAAAATAAGTTGTGAAGCGATTCGTTTATAATTTTCCATTTATAGCCAATTGATTTTATCTACACACGGACGACCAACAGGTGTAGTGTCATCTATGTAAACACCCAATTAACACCTCCATGCCATTCCCAGGCATTCACTGTTATCCAGGTAAATCCAAGCTGTATTAATTTCATGCTTGATTGGCGCGTTTGCACGCGCTATCTAAACTTCGAGAGATAGAGAGTAAAAAACAATGAAATGTGTGTAACGGGACCCAAATCTTGGTTCGAGAGATAGAGAACTTCGAGAGATAGAAGTTCGAGAGATCAGGAGTAAATTTGCTTTGTTATATACAGGAAAAAAACGGAACCGGAGGTTCACTTCGAGAGATAGAGAACTTCGAGAGATCGGAGTTCGAGCCATCGAGAGTCACCAGTATATGTGCATGTTGTTGATATTTTTTTGTAAGATGACCTGTTCGTATGATTCAATAATGATTGTGTTCAATTTTAGCCAAAGTGTACATATCAGATTCGTTTGAAGTCAGAAGTCAATCCACACATAGAGAAAGCTGCTCCACAGTACCAGGAACTAGTGGTGAGGGATTAATTCATTGCATTTTCAACAGTGAAATATTTGTATTTTATTTATTTAATAAATATGATAGCCTTTCACAGTGTGACAAATATCAAAAGAGTGACACAACTCACAAGATATTCATTCCCATAAGAAAGAGTGTTGACAAAATACTCTTTGACCTCTTGAACATAGAGTAAATACAGCTAGAAAACATTGAATATCTTCTTTTTAAACATTATAAAAAGAGTAATCTTCAAAGTTCAAAACTTGTGATAATGAAGTTTGACTGTAAACATTGTCCTTATAATTAAGTAGTGAAATCAAAAAATCTGTTTCAGGTTAAGGATTCTGACTTTACTGGCATCAATATTATTGCCTTCCGTCGTAACAATCAAATGGACGTCAGTGGAAATGTGGTCACGGAAGAAGAATTCCTCCCACATCTCAAGGTACAGCACTTCTCATATTTGAGAACAGGTGCTTGCAAGTGCGATATAGTGAATTACATGCACACATCACTACATACTTACAGAACAAGTTTTAATTAATTGTTGTATGACTTATTCCTTTGTTTAGGTGCGCCTGTACCGGGATGACAATCCTGATTCTCCAATACACACCTCCAGTCTTGGCCCGGTGTCTTTCTTCTATCTCCCCTCACTACAGATGACTAATGAGGTAGGAGTTACACATTTAATTAGAAAATGTTTTACTTGAAACCTAAGAATTTCATATTTTCTGAGCAAACCAAACAAGAAGTAGAAGATATTTGGATAAGAGCTCCTATGAGCTTTAGAGTGGACTTGTGTTTGAATTATCTATTAAACATAGCTCTCTGTCCACTAAGAATTATAGAGTCAGTAGGAACATACATTTGTGTCGATTTTATTTTACATTTATTTATTCTGCATGCTTTGATGGATTGCAGATCAGTAATGCTTCTGTTTGATTACTTATTCTTTACCTTGTAGAAATACTTGCTACGACTAGAAAGCACTCTTTCCAAGGCAGCTTATGAATATGATTTACCAGAAATCAGCTTCCAGACCAACAAATCTTACAAACACTTCACATTCCATTTTACACCCAAAGTAAGGATTTATATCTTTTGATGTTTATATAAAATAAAGTGTTTTATGTTTCTCACACTCATTTTAATGTAGTACATGTACTGTGAAATCACTAATTTTCGTGGGGGGTTTATTTTCGTTGTTTTCAAGGTATGAAGAGGCCCACTAATTTATGTCCACCTCGAAATGCAATTATTCACATATATTGCTACTGAACAATTCATCAACCACAAAATGAAATCCCATGAACCAATATATTTCCTGAAACCACGAAAATTTGACCCCTCAAAAATATGTGATTTTACAGTACTTGTGTGAAGAACAAGGTCTTAAAATGTAGAAATTCTCTATTGAAAATAAGCATTTGTTGTAAGTGTGTATTAAGATGTTCTTTTGTCTTCTTTTCATCAGAGGAAATCCCTGGAACAAGAGTTGAGTCAGAGCTCTGTTTTAGCTTTACCTCTAGCAATACTTATAGGAGTGGCTATTTATAATTACCAAAAGGTAAGAAGATTATTTTATTATGGCGATGAATGTTGTACAAAACTATCATTAGTACATATTTGAAATGTATCTTCTTCAAATATGCATGTATATCTATGTTATAACACACGTGTATTTTGTGTGTGTCATGTTCAGCTTTGGTAATTAAGCTCTAAAAGTTTCCATATCTATTATTTGTCTTATTCTTTACTTATCGGTAGTAGTAATACCATAAATCTGGAAATTTTTGCTGTAAATAAATTTTTAGCAAATTTGCGAGTTCATTGCACATTCGCAAAAATATTTTTTCTGAAAAATAAAATACCAATAAGAAAATGTAAACAAAACAGAGGTCATTCGCAAAATTTTGAAACGTAAAAATTAACCAAACATAATTCATGTTTAATTGTACACAATATACATTATATTTACAATACACACATACGAATTCTTCAAAGAATTTTAATTTTAGATTAAAGGAAACAAGGAAAATTGACACATGAAGAAGACAAATAAATATAGCCTAAAATTTTTCTTATCATAACATATAGCATAAGTAATCATCTGAATACTGAAGCATAGAATAGTAATAGGTAGTGCTAGGTAGTTTCTATATCATTGAACATTTCAACTGGAATGTAAAACAAGTTTATACATGTAATTATATAGATGACCTCTACAGAAAGAAAAGAACAGTTCACATTTGATTTGATAATTTATTTCTCTTTTCAGTTATTACCAGTATTTTCAAAAGCCGTAGTCCAAATAAAAACTTTTATAGCAGCCAGTCAAAGTGAGGTTGCGCCTAGCAACGGTTTCAGTGAGCCAACCACATACTCCGCTAGTTTTACAGAGCAATCTAAAAAGAAAAGTAAACCCAGAAAAACGTAATGACTAAAGAGAAATAAGAATACACATATATAATAATTATCTACAGATTATTTATGGTTGAATATTATCTGATATCATAATGGGTTTAAGAGTTAAAACTTTTCAATCATTTATTTAGTACACATATATAATAATTATATACAGATTATTTATGGTTGAATATTATCTGATATAATAATGGCTTTAAGAGTTAAAAATTTTCAACCTTTTTTTTTTTTTGGATAGGAAATCTGATTTCAAACTATTTTTGATTATTGTGATGAAAGACTAAGAGGAATTCAACATACATGTATCTGTATATTGTGTTTGTGTATACATGTGTCCATTTATTCTTTTTTATTTATCACAGCCTTTAAAAACTGTGAGCATGATTCAAGAATGTTAGTGCGAGTGTAGGAGTGAGTTTGATTGGACAAAAGTTTGTGCAATATAGTTGCTATTCATGAAAATTATGTGGATGAATTTTAAGTATGTTGTTAATTTTATGAGAAAAAAATCACCATTTTTTGAAATATTTTTTTGTAGCCCTGTACAGTTTCGTATATATTTTATATTGGTGCAAAAACTTTTTGATCATGTTAACACCTAATGGAAAGAATTTGATGACTTAAGCAAATTCTATTTCTTCTTGTAACCATAGGGGCAATGACCTTCACAGATATCATGTTAAGTGTTTGTAGCAAATCATAGAGTGCATAGGAAATACCTGATCATGAAATATGGATATACTGAATCATGTCGATGAGTAAAGCAAAGCAAGAAGTGCATGAAGAATACCTGAATCATGACAGTGTTTATATCAAAGGTGTGCACAAAGAATACTAGAATGTGTATTTTGTCAGTGTTTAGATTGTGTGTATGTTCTTTTTTATGCCAAGATTGTGAATTAAATGCTAGACATTAGTGTGTGTTTGAAAGGACTTGTATCAAATCTGCAACATGCCAAGATGAATGAATGTCACATCTTGTTGATCTCGAAAAACCTTGTAAGTTTTCTGAATACATGTATTTGTATATTGGAAGAGTAATATAAAGAATGATATTCCCATCTCTATTTTTTTTTCTCTGTGATAACTCTTTGAAAGTTAGCGGAGTTGATTTCTTGATAATTCTACCAGAATGTAAATTAGGCAGTCGATAGGTCAGGAGCTAAGGAGGCCTAATATGCATGCAAATCTCATGCACATCTGTCTCTGTATCTGATGCTAAGGAGGCCAAATATGCATGTAAATCTCGTGCGGCTGCCTTTGTGTTTGACGTCAGTGGGTGAGGACTATCGAAATTGGCATGGGAGGCCTCGTGTAATTTAAATCTATGTCAACATTTTTAAAGTCTAAATCTACAATTTTATTTCACAATGAAATGGAAATATAAGGAATCACTGTCTAGTTAGTATAGTATGCCAGGAACATCAACAATAGTGGGAAACATGGGATAATTTATGCATAATGGGCTTCACCCCTTATGCAAATTAACGATAGTGGGAAACATGGGATAATTTATGCATAATGGGCTTCGCCCCTTATGCAAATTATCCCATGTTTCCCACTATTGTTGATGCCCTTGCATACTATACCAACTAGACAGTGATTCCTTAAAACAACAACTCATAGAAATGATAAATATACTTACCTTGTCATTAGTCATTTGAAAAATTATTTTGTTTAGAAACATTCTAATTGTACAAACAAGTACTCTAAAGGTGATACATGTATTAAAATGATGCGCAAGTTTCTGATTGACAGTATCTATGTGGTTTTTGGGGACCTCATCTTCCAACAATCTATTAGAATTCCCATGGGTACCAATTGCACCTCGTTATTAGCAGACATAATTTTGTATTCCTATGAAGCAGAATTTCTCCAAAATCTTATATGTGAAAAGAAGGAAACTCTTCCTGTGGCCTTCAACTGACATTTAGATATATTGATGACATATTGTTAATTAACAATGGTTATTTCCATTCTCATGTCAATAGGATACAGTATATCCCGACAAGCTTGAAAAAAAGGTACCACAGAGTATGACACATCTGTTTCATATTTAGATATTCTACTTGAGAAAGACATTAATGATAATCTAACAACCAAGCTTTTTGACAAAAGAGATGACTTTAAATCAACTTTTCAATTGTCAATTTCCCATGCTTATGATGCAATATACCTTCATCACCTGCTAATGGGGTTTTTATCTCGCAGTTGATTCAGTTCTATATATGAACAATTTTTAAAACGAGGTAAGTAAGTTATGGACAAACAAGTTGCTGAAACAAGAATATCACCAGTTTCGTTTAAAGTCATCATTACATTTATCATCCTACGTGTAATTGTTAGGTCATCATATACACACTGAATTGTCTATGGAGTTTTCCGTTATTTCCCGATCATGACAAAACTTCTGATGTTCTGGAGGTCCTTGTTTGCTTGCTCCTATTTTGTATCGTTTTATGGTCCGTTTTCATATTTAGATATTCTACTTGAGAAAGACATTAATGATAATCTAACAACCAAGCTTTTTGACAAAAGAGATGACTTTAAATCAACTTTGCAATTGTCAATTTCCCATGCTTATGATGCAATATACCTTCATCACCTGCTAATGGGGTTTTTATCTCGCAGTTGATTCAGTTCTACATATGAACAATTTTTAAAACGAGGTAAGTAAGTTATGGACAAACAAGTTGCTGAAACAAGAATAGGAGTTTAAAGTCATCATTACATTTATCATCCTACGTGTAATTGTTAGGTCATCATATACACACTGAATTGTCTATGGAGTTTTCCGTTATTTCCCGATCATGACAAGGAGCTTGTGACTTGTCGGCAGGGGATCCCACTTCTGATGTTCTGGAGGTCCTTGTTTGCTCTGCTCCTATTTTGTATCGTTTTATGGACTTTTTAACTTGAATACTGTCCGTTTTCTCCATATATTTCATATTTAATCTTTACATGCAAAATGGCAATTTTTAGAATAGAATGTTTTACATGTATATAAAACACGACAATTTTAATACATGATTGAATAATTCCTATCCCTCTGATAGGCTGAGACCTTTCAAATGTTCCGGCCCTTCTTTTAACTACATTCCCAGTGGAACCATCATTATATTAAAGTGATGTTAATAAATATATTGGTAGTTAAAAATGAATACTTAAAAGCAATCGTCTTGGGGCTTACAGGGACCTACCACGTTTCACAGAATACCTTCATTTTTATCATGAATTCCGTTGCAGATGATGCCAGACATTGGGCTAAATATCAAACGAAAGACCAGAACTCGGTCAGAATGTTTAAGTGTTTTAGAACGTTAATAAATAGCCGTGTCAAAAAATTAAGGTATTCAATGTATAACGAACAAATTTTAGCATTTTGAAGATAAATGTTCACACACACACACAAAAAACAAAAAACAAAAACGGAGACAGTACCGTGAGGATGAAAATAGATACCGAACGGTATTCAATAGGGTCTGTACCTAAAGTTATGAAAACAGATATTTATTTAAAGTTATAATACAGACCACTAACACTTCGTGAGAATATGTGGCAATAGATGAATCCACTGAAACAAGACAAAATGGAAACAGAGCAAACCCCTGAACCCTAAAAATATCAGAGACGGGATCAGATGCCATGAAGGAGTAAGCACCGCCAGTCAAATGGTGGTACCCGCATCGTGCTCTTGTCATAATCTGGTCAATGGACAAATCTGTTGACGACTCATTGTAAAATGTCAGTCAACGTTTGACTTAATGATAGATTGTATGTTGACAAGGTCGTTGTATTGACGAAAAAAATTGCGATATGTTGATATTAATCAAGACTGTTGATATCTTTGTTTTGTCAACTTGTTTGTCAATAGTTTGTTTCGTTTCAGAAATTGTTTTTACGTATACCATGCCTTTTAACTGTTTTGATAGTAGTAACCTTTTTGATTTTTGACTCAAATACGTTGTACCTCTATGCAGGTGCCTTCATCTGACCCTGAAAAGAAGCTTTTTGAAAAAGTATTGAGAACAGCAGCCTAACGTGCCGACAAGCAGATGAACAAAGGGGTAAGGTGCATGGGTACAATATGACATTCAATGTAGGTCTTAAAAGGAGGGGGTAACAATACGACTGAATATTGTGATATGCATATATATCATGATGATACACATGAAATGTATAATGATACATATTATGATATTTCAACTTCCGTTAATTTTTAGTTTTTCAAATTGATCTGGAATGGAATCAAGGAGACATCCTTTTAAAACCCTCTCAAAAAGAGTAGCACCACAATTAAACATAATACTACCCAAGCATCTTCAGACATAGTGGATTAATTAAATCGTGGTTCCCAGTTGTTCTGTCATGTTCTGAATTTTGAATTTACCGGGTATACTAAATTTTGTATTTTACTCCCACCCGGTAAATTCAAACTTTAGAACATGACAGTTGATAATGGATCAAAATTTTTCACTGAACATGGATACAAGAAACCACTTCCAAATTCTTCTAGTGAAGAAAATTGAGGCAAAATCACAGTTGAAAACTTGTATAGGCCCTTAAAAAAACTAGAGGTACTGTGAGCAATGAGGTCACTAAATGATACCCCCCCCCGCCTCCCATATGGTTATAATGGCAAAGTCCATGTTTTGCTGTGTCCGGGAAACCCAAAATATGTGTCGGATCAAAAAGTAAAATGGGAGGTGCACAATGGCAATATGTAACAAAGATTCTGTGAAAGTTTCATTAAATTTCACCTAGAGGTATAAGAGGAGTTGCGGATAAGAGATGGGTACCCCAAAGCGTAACAGACAGACAGACGGACGGACATACCGATTACAGTACACCCTCCGACTTTTCAAGCGGGGTATAAAAAAACGTTCGTATTCAAAGTTGTTTCTTGCATTTTTATGTGAATCGAAATGATTTGAATAAAACTTAGTGTACAGTTCGATTGATTTAATTATTTAATTGATTTTAACGATTGGGGGAGTTGGGGTGTTGTGTTCATTTCTTATCCGCAACTCCTTTTTGAAATTTGAAAACAATATTACTTCTCTATTTTAACAGTTTAGCAAAACATGGACTTTGTCATCAGTTATAATCATATCGCTCATTGCTCACAATCTGTTTTTAACCTTGATAAAGCTCTGAACATCCAGACGTTACAGGCTGCAATAGCAGCACCAGGTTGCCTTTCCTTGTTGTTTTAATGGTTAAATAGATAAAGAAAAATATTTTGGACACTGTGAGGGGGTACTTGTCATAATTTGTGCAATAAAGGCCCAAAACATGAATTTTGAATTGAATTTTTTTCTTTCTCCACTAGATTATCTTAAAGCATTGTATGAGTGTCTTGTTGAAAGACGGACTGTAAGGTAATGGATGAGTGTAGTTCTAAGAGAGAGAGAGAGAGAGAGAGAGAGAGAGAGAGAGAGAGAGAGAGAGAGAGAGAGAGAGAGAGAGAGAGAGAATATTTAATGAAATGTTGCCTATAACCATGCCATAAGATATGAATAAAAAATGGCTCGCATCTAGAGATTATAGTTAGACCATAGAACCTTGAAGATGGATGTCCCACTCACCCACCCCTTTTTCATAAAAATCTCTCAAAAATATATTCCCTGTCGATCACATCCATGTGTAATTGTAGCAAATAGTTTTAAAAGTACTCTTTTTTTATTTTTAGAAATTATAAAAAATATACAATGATCAGTCTCTAGACGTGATAAAAGTATACAATCTGCGCCCATTGAACTACGGATGTAGTGGCTGATGGAAAAATCTCATATTTTTGTGAAATGCTACGGTCTTACATTATTTTACTATCGTATTTTTCCCTTTTAAAGATCCCCCCAACACCAACACCACCAATACCTTTTTTTAATGCTGTAAGGTCGAACACTGGCAAGTTCCAGGATTTGGACGCCAGATAATGAATAAATTATTGGTGGGGGGAGGAGGAGGGTGCTCGTCAGATATATTTTGGGAAGCCCCCTCCCTCTCTCGCTTTGGTCATTTAAGGAGTTTTTAATTAATTTTTTTTGGTAGTGTTGTCTGTGCGTGTGCTTTTTGTTTTTGTTTTTTGAATGTGTGTGTGTGCTTGCAAGCCCCCCCCCCCCACACTTTGAAACCAGGCATGCTTTGCGATGCCAAAGCCTGCACTGTATTCGAACTGATAATTTTTAGCCGACAAACTCTATTAAGATTAACTATATAACTATACATAGCTAAAATGTCCATAAATTGAATTATAATCTTTCTTAATCGACTTTGAAATAATATTCTGTCATGCGTTGGTACCAAAATTCAGTTGCCCCCTCCCCCTTCCTCATTCAAGTCGTCCTCTAAAAGTTACGTTCTGTCATTCTACTTAAACAGTTAAATGTCCAAAGCCGAAAGATCTATAACTCAACCAACATTTTTCCCACACCATATGGCATACACGTACATATATAACAATATGCAGCAGACTTCACAATCTAAGAAGACTTCTCAAGTTTTCAAAAGAGTGAATCGTTCGTCTCACAATCAAAGGGGCACAACTCCCGCCAAAAATCTTATATTGAACTGTCATGTGCTCCTACGTCACGAGGCCAAAGGGCAGAGTGTAATGTGTACACCGAAGAAAAAAGATCGTCAATATACACATGGATTTGTAAATACACAAAAGTTGAGATATTTTCTGATTCCGGTGAACTAATGGAAGTCCTAACGGACGACCAGGCTATGCGAGACGCCATAGGTAAGTGGGATGTCGTCCACAGAAAAAAACGTTAGAAACTTCGCTAAAGTATCACTAGGTTTCCGGTACAAAAAGAGAGTTTAAGTTGACGAAGACGTTTTCATTCGGTGAAAAAAGTGTCAGAGTTTGGTTGTTTACACTTGACGATGTATTGAAATGAGTGATTTTTATAAGGTTTACTATTCAGTTGATTGTGTTTTTGTTGTTAGTATAAATGTAATGTCTTGGAGGTGCCATAGTGTTACTTTTTGCAGTCAATAACGGATTCTGTTTGTCAAGCTCAGTCAGTGTTGAGTCTGTGAAATGGGGTCAGTGGGTATTCACCGGCCCACAGGTCGCTACTATTGGTTCCTCAAGTTTTCCTCATCACCCAAGGACCTTAGAATTTCTGCTCTTTGAAGAAAAGTTTACTAAAAGAATATTTGACAAACAAAAGGACACAAAGTGAAAGAGAAGACTTAATTAACAAAGCCCATCTCGGCAGAAATTCTGGCATCATAAATGTGCATGAGGTGAACACACGTACTAAACAATGCAATTATAGTTTTATAACTTGGTCAATATATGTACAAACTATACATGTTATCTTCAGGTCAAAGATAAATTAATGTGTCCCAAAACAAAGACCCCAAATATTGATGCTGCAAGTCATATGCAAAAAATGCTACACACAAAAAGAGATACTTATTAAAATTTCTGAAATTCTTGTTTGAATAATAAGAGATTATTTTTTGAAAATCAAGAGATTTACAAGTTATTATTCAAATCTACTGGTGGGAAAAATTGAATATTGAAAACAATAATTTATATTCACACTTATAAATGTATCTCAATTTTTTGGAACCAATTATTTTGATTTGTCATAAAATAATATGAGTGTAAATATTACCAACATAGAACAATAGAATTTATTAGTAGTACAATTATTTCAGGATATATTCCCATTATTTTCTTTGAATAAATAGAGTTTGTACTTTACACTTTTTGAGGGTTTATAAAATTTTGTGTACATGGCACACACAAGTGTGCTACTATTTGTTCTTGGTGTCCCTATTGATTTAAAAATCTCAGTGGCTATCAATATAGTGAATTATTGACTAGTAACCTGTTAATTGTGATAGTGGTACTTGTATTATTGCTTCTGTCTAAATTTGCCTCAAAGAGTCTGAGAGATAAAAATTTAATGCCAGGTACGGCTGGCACACCTTATAATTATCTGAAGCCTATTTCAGTTTCTATCAAATGTTTTGGCTATGAATCACGATCAATTATTTTCCAGTAAATCAAAAAAGATTTCAGACCTAATTGTGCTTCATATTTTTCCCCAGTTTTCTTTTTTTAGAAAACACATTAAAAGTATACGACCCACAGGCATAAACATTTTGTTTCTCTTGTTAAAATCCATAGTGGCAACAAAAACTTCCAAGTGTGAAAACATTGAAAATTTGTGTATAGGATCTCTCGACTCTGTCAAAATCAGATCATAGAATTAAATTCCAAAAACAGGATAAAATCGGATAAATTAATGTAAGTTTAAATAATATATATCTAACGTTTTAAAAGTCAAAATAAGAAAATATTTTGATATGGGAACGGCTGGTTAAGTGTGAGCATGGCATCCCATAGAACAGAATAGAATACAATAGAATTACTAAATTCGTGCCTAATGGAAAAATACTGTATGTGTACATAATTTGGCATGTTTAAAATTTAGTGCAATCAATCCATATGGAGTTGGCATAATCATGAATTTAAGTGCTACTCATGTCTGTGGTGATACTGTATTTATGAATTATTTCTCAGTGGTATTCTTGAATTAGTGCATCATTGTCCCCACAAAGCTGCTAAAATACGAATCCTGCTTATTTAAGTACAGATACAGTGCTAGTTACACCTTTGTCCTATGACTAGGTACAGACAATACACAGGGCCATCTTTAAAGCGTGTTCGTTTACCCTCTCCAAAATTAGGGTAGTTGAAAATTTCACAAACTTTTTGATGACTTTATGAGAAAATCCTGTGGAAAAGGATTTTTAAAAAATATTGTTTCTTGCAGGTCCATAAAAAGTTTTGAGTTGAGTCATTTTTAAGTCAGTTGGTCGGAAGAGGGCAAAAAAACAATTTTTTAAAGATGGCCAATGTAGGAAGAATCTTGGTGTCTTTAGTGGTATTTTGGTGATAAAGATTCCATAGCTTAACAACAGATGTGCTTGAAACAATGAAATGTTACAGTAACATTACCTCCCCCCCCCAACACCACCAATAGTACCATACCAATGATTTTCAAAGGACAACTATGATAATGAACTCAGTTTTCTGTTTGGATTACATTGTACAATTTTATTTGTGACAGTGTAAGGTTAATTTTCTTGTCTATATCTCCCTCTTATATCTGTAGCATGATATCAAAATTTCAGAACTTTCTCAGAACCTTAGCTTTGTTTTCATGCTAGTACTTCAAACTAGGTTATGTTGTGTAGCAGTTGATTTTTTAGTCTCTGCATGCACTGTAACACTTAACTTCTCAGTTTTTTGGAAAGCGGTCTTTCTGTAGTGAGAACTCGTTCCGTCCTTCGGATGTGACTCAGAAATGCTTCCTCTTCAGAACATATGTGTGTTTTAATTTTTGTAAGTTTTTTTGATGTCATTGGTTGAGGTTCTCAAAGAAAGGGGGAAATATGCTCATGATATATTCCATTACACTCAGGGCTGAACAGATAATAGTAAATACAAAGTCAAGAATGCCATGATAAAAAAAAATTCACTCATCAATGTCCAGAATGCAGTATGCTTAATATGTAGAATAAAGTTCGCAATATAACAAACCCTTTTAATTTTACATAATCGTAAGTATAAAATGCATTTGACATGACTAATTTTGAAGTCTGAATGTTAGGTATTAAAATGTTTAAAGATCAAATAAATAATACCAATAAGATGAACAAACAATTTACAAATAGAAAACAAAAAATGAAGTAGATACTAGCCCCCCCCCCCCCCCAAAAAAAATTCCCACATCATAAGAGCACAGTGCTGAATGGCTCAGGCCAAATAAAGGTATATATTTGTTGTCTGTTTTATTCTTGAAAAAAGTTTGATGTTGTCCTGTATTTTTTTAAAGTGTACTTTCAAGACATTTTCGTTGTCAAGTCTGATTATAGTTATCTGAAGAAATAACAGTACAGTAAGCTAGTTCGTCTTCTGTCACTGCGTACCATTTAACATACAGCAACAATTCTTTAGCTTGCATCACTGTTCACAATAAATAATATTTAATATGATCAAAGGACTGCAACAAGTTTCATCAAACTTTATCCAAATGTATTTGAAAAAAGGCAAGAATAAAATATCAATTAATTCCAATATTCATTAATTTTTTGTTTTGAAAATAAATTAGTTAAGAGTCCAGGACCTTATTTAGTATTAAAATCAGTTTGTTAATTAAATATCAGTTAGTGATTTGGTATCAGGAAATGCATTTAATTTTGATCTCTGCCTTAAGAATTTAAATTATAAAATTATAAAAAGTGCTCAAGGTTTTAAAGAAATTTAAAATAATTTTTATGAATATAAATAGTATAAATTTTCTTTTGATTTTGAAAAGTTTGATTTTAAATTTATAATCATGTTATATTTAGTGTGAAGCATACTAGCAATGTGATCTGAATATGAAAATTCACTTTGATGATAAAAATACGATAATTTATTTAAACAAGTAAAAAAAAAAATACCAGAGAGACAAAAGCAAGGTAACCACAGTATATTGAGTGAGATTGTTACAGACTGTTGTATGTCTATCGAACCTATCAAACTTGGAATAATTCATCTTTTTTACCTGTAATTTTCAGAAAATAGTGTTTAATAATGATGTTAATTAAATCAGTTTATTTTCCAAACGCCATAAATCAGTGAGTGTTTTAAAGTGAGAATCTGTGCGAGGTATATTAAGGTCAACATTAACTATAAAGACATTTCTATCAAATTCTCAACTATTGATTTGATTAGTTTAAAATTTTGTAGGCTGATAGTCTCTGTTACTAATGATCTGAATTAAATTTTTGGTGTCATAATTTGAATCCTATGTTTGATATTTTGAAGAACTGAATAGATGTTCATCTTAAAATGGTCTCAATATGACTCTATGTCTTTAATTGGTTTTCAAGATCAAATTGATAATTTTTTCCTGTACAACAAAATCATATTAATACATAGTTATTGTGTTCAAGATGGATCGATCAGCTTAATGGTTGAATAATCAAGTTTTTTGAAAAGTAGTTTGCATTGATATGAGTGTTTACTTACATACATGTATGACTCAAATTATTTCAAGATCATTTATACTAGTATAAATAGTTCTAAAACTCTTAATAAAAGGAATATGCTATCTGCATGCTTGTATCTTGATGTCATTATATCAGCCGACAAAGAAATCAGCCAATAAAAATCTGCCTGTGAATTGTTATAATTTGCGGGATTTTCCAGTATATTATATTACAATGTTATAAGGAGCAGTGTCTAACTTTTTTGCCATAGTGTCCTTTCAATGTATAATCAAGCCTATAAGAAACTGTTCTAATTTAGGATATTTTATTTTTGGAAGCTTAAGGCTTCATCTCTGTCATTTGTGTTCTGTGTGGGAGGGGGATCCCCATCTCATAAATGTTATTTGCTCTTTCTGCGATTTTTTCCCATGCACACTTTCTGAATGTTAAATTCAGTAGAAACTCACAATCACTGTAAGAAAGATTATCCTGAGATGAATTAAAAAGAAATTTTCCCTTCCTACACTACCGGTACTTACTAGGAAGATGATGGATCATAAAAGAAAATTTTCTTGGTTTAAAATTGTAGCAACCATTTAAGATGTTAAGACTGCAGCTGCATACAGCTCCAGAAGCTTGTGAAGCAACTTCTCTGTGCATTGGGACTGTTCCTTATGGGGACATAACTCTGTAAAACAGAGAGAAAGAGAACTAGAAAATTAATGGAAATTTTTTTGG